TTTCTGTTAGAACCCCCCCCCCCCTCCCAAGAGCCTCGCGTAATTTACGGACAGCCCCAAACAGTTTTTTTGCGTGAACTTGAGACGAATTTGGGGTAGAGTACCTTTATAGACAGAGTATGCCCATTTCTTATCCTGTATTTCATTGGTCGCGTGAAAATAGGCTGACACGATGGTCTTACGGCCGTAAATAAGCAAACAAGATGACTGTTATCAGCAAGCAAGTTTGAGGTTATGCACACCCTATATCCTCCTGTGATAAAAGAGAAAAGGCAATTTAACAGTGGTTTCGTGTGTTTTTCATGTGTTATTCGCCGATAAGCTAGTTTAAATTGTTACTGCCGTATAATTGAAATTTTTGTCAAATTTTAGCTTCTAATCGATGTTACGGTGAGCCGCCATTTTGTTTGCTTATTTACGGCCGTAAGAGCATCATGAAGCCTAAAACCCCGTTGACCGATCAAAAAGCGGCACAGTTTTCCTGTAGTAAAAAGATACGAATGACCATGGGCGTAGCTAGGGGGGTCCTGGGGGGGCCTGCCTCCCCCCCAGAAATCTCGTGCCCCCCCCCTCCCCCCAGAAAAACGGGATTCTCCATTCCTCACCCCCCCCCGCTCTCTTCACCACGAGAGGTGGTCCCATGCCCCTCCCCCAGGGNCCCCCCCCCAGAGAAATTTCCTAGCTACGCCCCTGCGAATGACCATACTCTGTCTATAAAGGTACTCTAATTTGGGGGCTAGTTAGCCGACGTAGACAAGGCGGAGCTCAACCGTTAATGCTTGTGCTCGCAGTGGGGCCCTTTGAGGGAGCATGAGCATAGGATCTACATTGCGACGCGAAGGGAGCCTTGCAATCCGGCGATCAGTTGCTCCTCGGAAGACGCCGAATGGTCGGCCGTCGGAGAGCGTCCCCAGGCCCAGGTTACGGGCCCTCAACTTTGCGAGTCGCTAAGGAAGAGCTTCAACCAGCTTCACGTGTCACAACACGGAAACTGCCCCAATCCAGTCTCTGCTGAATGCTCTGGGCTCAAATGCAACTTCGTCATGGATACTTCTTCCCAGACCTCCTTATTCCGCAGCAACTCCAAACGTAAGAAGACTCTCAGTGAGTGTGCTAGTACAATCAAGGCAGAACACGAGAAGTTTATGGAAAGGGAAAACGATTTTCTGAAGAGGAAAAACACCGCCAAGCCAACGTATCCTTGCACATGTCCACACTGCCGCAATTGCCCTTTGGCCATCTACGGTTGTCCCTACTGCCCCTTTCATCCGCGGAAAGTCAACGACGGAGAGATGGAAAGGTAGGGTCTCGTTTTAATGTAAATCGCATCAATTGGACTGCATTTTGCAATTTGGAGCTATAAATTCTAACTCATCAGTAAAAACACTCATGTGCATAGCGAAACTAAAGGCACATACGTTGTTTTTAAGCCGGGCGGAAATTTATAGTTCTTAATTGCAAAATGTAGTCCAATTTATGTGGTCGCGAGGATTTTCCTTCGCACACTGCTGCATCCCGCATTAGTCTTGCGATTCCGTATACCGAAGGAAAAAAGTCCTTTTTCTTGATCGTGAAGGTTCAAAATCTTCGCTCTTGCTTACTTCTTTTCAGAATGGCGTCGATCAATATTTCAACATGATATTCAAGTATGGTTTTAGATATAGTTTTAAAAAAAAGAAGAAAATAAACCATGTGAAGTTACGCGCATGAATTGCCGTTCGTTCAATTTCATTAAAATGAGATCTGATCCGAACTTGGTAGAGTAGCGCTCTAGTAGTTATTTCTATTTCCACCACCCTCTATTGTTCGAGATAGTCTAGCAAGAAACGTTATTATACCGTAGATTTACCAGTACAAAATCGTTCGAATTCCAACTCAGAGCCGATGCCGTAGGTTGCCGACTTGTAGAGCGTCAGAGAAAATCCTGCCCGAACTCACCCTGCAGATTTTTTCGTAAACCACAAAATATAAAATATTTTACGAGGGTCATCGCATAAGTCCTCCGCGCTTTGCTCTCATTTCAAAAGTATCGAAGATAGGGAAAATACAATTAAATGCGCATATGAGGCATACTCTCAGCTTTAATTTAAGCACAAGTTTTTAAAAATCGGATGATCTGGAGGTCATTTCTCCCGCGCCGCCTTCGAGGCGGTTCCCGCCACCTCCAAGCGGACGGTATCCGTGATAAGAAAAATGAGCGGACGATTGCGGCCAATCTGATCCGATCGCATGAAATTCTTATCAATACTTTTTACCAGGTTGTTAAACTGTTCAGCATGCTGTTTTTTAGGACTTCGATGATGAGTACAATTAGTGTTCTTCAGAAAGTGCAAGCTTATTGTGTAAAGTGTGTTGTAAAGTTACGGTACTTTCAAAGCCAGAAAGCTGTGAAGTTCGGTCTGTGATTCGATTTTGCCTCCAGGAGCGCGATAAGCCAGCATGGCTTGGCTGGAATCTTTTTTTAATTAAACTATTCATGCACGATTTGATGCAAGACAGACCGTGGAATTACAGGAAAATACTCGAGCATTTCGTTAAGTGCCATTCGGCGATCTTCGTCTTCGAGAAAAACTTCAACTCATTGCACTAAGGCATACTATCGATCACACTTAGCCTACCGTCTCGGGCGACATCGTGCATGTCTGTTCTTCCTTCGTGAAACGATTGGCTCGACTTCCGGACACTTCCATCGCTCATCGCATTTTCCCCGTAAACCACTTGAAGTGTGCGAATAATGTCACACGGCCCAACACCTCCGAAAGTCAAAAATCGAATCACTGACCGAACTGCACAGTTTTCTGGCTTTGAAAGTGCCTTAACTTCACACACACTTTACACAATAAGCTTGCACTTTCGAAAGAACACTGATTGCACTCATCATCGAAGGCCTAAAAAACAGCATGCTGAACAGTTTAACAACCTGGTAAAAAATGTTGATAAGAATTTCAATGCGAACGGATCAGATTGGCCGCAATCGTTCGTTCATTTTTCTTATCACGGATACCGTCCGTCTGCACTGAAAAAAAATTCTCGGCCTTTTTACCAAGGTCCGTTGATACCTTTACCATCTCACTTTTTTTACCAATTATTGGTGATTTTACCAAGACAGACTGGTAAGCTTACCTAAAAACCGGTATTTTTACTGTTTTTCTCAGGTAAGAATACCACTTTTATTGGTAATCAATTCCCGGTAACTTAGCCATTTTATCTCGGTAATTCTACCACAGTCGATAAAAAATATTGGCGTTTTTTCCAAGGTCCAGTAAAATTACCGAGAAAGTTCAATAATTTTACCGAGATTTCTAGGTAAAATTACCAATTCCATAAATGTTATTTTTACCATGAAAAACGGGGATCAAATAGAACCCTGAATTCTTGGTAATTTTACCCTTTTCTTAGTAAATACACCGAGATTTTTTTTCAGTGTGGAGGTGGCGGGAAACGCCTCGAAGGCGGCGCGGGAGAATCCTGCGGGGCTCCTCCTGATCGTCCTGCCCATCCGATTTTTAAAAAATTATGCTTAAATTAAAGCTAAGAGCATGTCTCATATGCACATTTAATTGTATTTTCCCTATCTTTGATAATTTTGAAATGAGAGCAAAACGCGCAAGACTTTTGGGATGACCCTCGTAATAATCGATTCTATTATATATTTTCAATCAACACGTATACGCATATTTATATAAATAAAACAATCAGCAAAATGTACAAGTAAAACTCTTACCTAATGAATCGAATAAAAAAGTAAACGATGAAGCTGAACATTTATACATGAGTACAAAATTGAGATGGTTAAGAATGAGATCGATCGTTCGAAGACAAAACTACTTCATCTTTATAATAAAACTAATGAGTCATAATATGTAGTGGGCGCCGCCCTTAAATTACGTAACGCACTTTTTCGGCATTTTTAACCCCCTCCCCCTCCCTTGTAACGCTATTGTGAAGTAGGTCCCTATCCATCAACACGTAACAACAAAATGGCGTAATGCTCTCCTCTAAACCCCGCCCCCTTCTCCGGAAGCGTTACGTAATTAAGGGATGGCCTCTCATGAATCACTGAAGAAACAATACATAACAACTCACATCCCGTATGAATATATGATACGAATATTTAACACTAATATGTTTTCCCACAGGCCAGATGAAGAATATGCAGGAATGAGGGAGCATGTAGGGAGTTTGAACATTCCAGCCCTGATGGGAAGGGGAAAGTCCAACCGTTATGATCCTCCCCTGAGCATGGCAAGCGTGATATCCAATGCCGCGACTGCCGCGAGACCCTCCAGCAGGAACCCCAATATTCCACCGTTAGCATATCAGACTCCAAAGACTCCAACCGCAAGGCCGATCATGAGTACCAAGGGGAAAAGTATCGACTATTCTCAGTATTATAGCAATCAGTCCAAATCTCGCTCTAATAAGTACGCGTCGTCATCGAAGCCGTAACCGAAGCCATCTTCATTTCGTGAGGTGATCGTAACGTAACGTTACGTAAGTTACGTAACATTTTATGGGGTGGTTTGGAGTAAGAGTCTTTGTAAGTGCCACGCAGCGTTACAAAGGATTGGGTCAGGTGTCCGTTATCTTTGAAATTTGAGGAAAATTAACCTTTCCTGGTCTCAAAACGTGATATGTGGTGTAAACATAACTAATACTTTTTGGAAAACATATTTAAAAGAAAGCTTTTAGAGGCCTCTCAGGCGCCCTAAGGGGCGCACATCTAAAAATTGTTATTTTGGCAAAAAAAAGGTCGTTTCTCAATAAACATCATCAAATTGAGACCCTTTAAGACAAACATTTTGTCCGTTTGGCAAAGGTAATAGAGCGAAGCATTTCGTAACTATTTTAAATGATTTTTCCAAGTTTTCCCGCGGGTTCCATCCGTTATCCCCAGCAGTTTTGAGTAATTTGTTCTCGGGAAAAAGTGGTCCTTTCGCTAATTGTTAGTGGCAAAAATATACATGTACCGGAAAACAAAAACAAAAAACGCTTCCCAGCCACAGTGGAAACGAAAGGTAGATTTCGACTAATCGTTTCTATGAAAACATTTGCGCCTCATGAGCCTAATGAAATAAAAAGAATGTCGTGAGGTATACGGTAGGTCCGTCAGCGGACGACGATTTTGCCCCAACAGTCCACTTCTAGACTTGTGCCCAGCCGATGACTGTCCTCAAGACGGTAATTCCGTACATGGTGACAGTTTTTTTTCCCTTCTTTTTTTCTTTTTTTTCTTTGTTTTCTTTGCACTGTACGATAGTCATGTGGACTGTTAATGCAAAGCTAATTTTATTCCTCTCCGTGTATGCATTTGCCCAACGTCCTGACGTCCTGTATTGATTGTAATGGCGTTAGTATTTAATTTGTTTTTATTATTTTTTCTTGAAGATGTGGGAGGCGATCCAGCAAGCCACACCAATCTGAGAGGGAGGAACGACAAAGCATACCTAAAGTTCTGCGTGTGACGAAAATACGTAGATTCTTATTTGAGAAGCTACTACATTAAAAATAAAATCCTTAAAACAGCCCGGTGCAATAAATTAAGACACGAAAATGAAAGAGGTAGTGGTAGGTGGACGATATTAGCATTTCCAAGTAATTGTGGCTGTACCCCAATAAATTAGGTCACTAATCCAAATGTTGCTTTAATACTCCAACCTGAGTTGCGGCTCTACCACAATTAATCGGAAATGTTCAATTCATCCAACAAACTGGGATATTGAACCAACACTTAAAAGGAAAACCCCTAACACTTTTTTTCCGTGGAGCAAGTGTTCAAGCTCTATGGTAAGTGCGAACTCGAATGGCTCGTACTTGATGAGTGAGGACCTCATTTTGTAAGGCAAAAAACTTAACTCCCGAGTTTGCCCCCCAGAACGCTAATGAAAATAGTCGATTCAGGAATCGTTATCGCCCTGTAAAATACTTTCCATCCGAATATTCAACCACATATACTTCATCATCTGTTTGACAAGGATGCAGAAAATTTCCAGCCTTTTTATATCAAGAACCCTCTTCTCCCTTAAACTGTCCCAGTGATCAACACGAAGCTAATGTATGCACGAAATGCTGCAATTTTCATCGCGTGAAAGACACGCGATTTCATGACTCCTATAAATAAGGCATCACAAATTGTCGGTAAATAAAAACATGGAACGCCCTTGGAAGCGTATATTTTAAAGTGTAATATTTGAGCAGTATTTAAGCAATCCAGTTTTGTGCGGATATTTTACTTGAAGTGGACAAGGAGGTCATAATTGGAGGTGTGATCACATCAGATGACACGAATTTGACTTGCAGCTATACCAGCAGTCTTACTTTCATGAGCAATGGGTCCGAAGACGTCGAGTAGTACCTTAAGGGAAAGAAGACAAGATTATAGGATGACTTAACCACACATATTCACACTAGGTATCATGAAAGAAAAGAGCTCATGAAGTTTATCCTTATCTTTTTGATCGGAGAATCGTATTATTCTCGGAGTAGAGTTTGTATAAAACCCTGTTCGATCAAAAACTGGTTTATTTGAAACTGCCGTCATTAACAGATAATCACTGTAATATTATGTAATAATTAATGTAAACTAGTATTATGAAATGTACCATAGCAACTAGATTAAATAAATATAATCTTATCATCTAATTTCAGCTTATCCTCTATCAGTATCAGCCAACTCAAATCGACGCACGGAAGTCAACAGTGTCGAGGTGTGCTTTGCGATATATCGATTGATCTGCCATATAAACCCATGGAAAAGTATCGGTAAACAGGGCGTTCGCAGCAAATACCTTAATAATCGATTATTTACCTCAGCTTCAAATGGGGAAATATCGATAGATCGCAGAGCACGCCACGCCACTGTAAGCCATAAGTTTGCCAAATCTTTCGATTCGTCTATTGACAAAGTTAGTCTTAACAAAGTCAGTTTTAAGAACAATCCTCCACTCTTCCGCTAGGAAATCGTCTGCTTTTGTAAACAATAAGTTTCACAATATAGGTTTGTCAAGTACCCACATTGCCGTAAGGTCTAGTTTTATTCGTGTGCGGGTGAGCACGGGGATCTATGAATTCAGTGTTGTGGTCGATTTGCGAATGGCTGCATACAATTTCCTTAACCGCTTTTCAAGGTCGTGCTAAATGCCTCTGTCACTTGCAGGCGCGCGATTAAAATTGCACTGATTCGCCCCTCCACTCAATTGAACGGCTTATTTGAAGAGTAACGTTTAGTGCCGTGGAAACTATACGTCGCTTACGTTGTTCTTCTTTCAGTCAGCTATTGTGTGAACCTATCGACTGTCAGTCACGTCAGTCGGTGCGAAATATGTTTCTTAAGGTGATTCGATGGACGCCATATTTTGTGTCAGAACGGCATGCAATATATCGCATCAATTGGTTCCATTTTTTCTGCTACTCGTCATTTTTCTCCAATTTTGAGATCGCAATAAATTCTGTTGTCAGGAGACTAAAGCACTCACTCACCAATTTTAACAAAGAAATTCAACGTAATAAAGGCGTGGTTTTTTCAGAGAGAAAACATCGCATTCGATACTGATATCGAAACTGCACTCGAATGCGATATTTTCTCTCTGAAAAACCACGTTAAAATTGCCCTGGTAAAAATTGGCGATAAGAGCTGCGTTTCAAAATACCATAGGGATTCTTATAGCCGGCTAAAGGGGGCTACAGAAAATCATATAGCTGGCTGTAGAATGCGGAGAAAATCATACGACCGGGCTAGACGAAGCGATAAAAAATTATGCAGCCGGGCTATAGTTTCTATCGCCGGGCTTTACACTTTATCGCCTGACTGTTGCTTTTCCGCCATCGGTTATAAAAGGCTATAAGAAATTGTGTAGAAATTCGTATGCTTTGGAAATCATTAAGTTTGATACGGAACCACCTTAATATTTACAAAACACACGTTATATTTTCCTTTAATACATATTTTTTTTTTTCATCAATTAAAATGAGAATAATCAACACAGGATGTGGAAACATTTCAAAATTATGAGTTGAATAACGCTAACTCTGCCGGATTAAATATTAGAGCCTGACACAAAGCGGAGCGGCGACGCACCGGCGCCTACAAACCTAACAGGGATACTTCATGCATTGCTCAACGCGTGAAGTATCCCTGTTAGGTTTGTAGGCGCTAATGCGCGTTTCGCGCTGGCTGCCCGCCTGCCGCGTCACAGCGTGCCACGGCGCACTATGGTCCGAATAGCCGGTTTAAGCGGCATTAAATCAGATACGTATGTTAAAACCTCGCAACATGAGTTTTCAGGGGTTTTTAGGGTCGCTGAGTGCAAAAATGCTAATATTCTTCAGGAAAAATCCATTTTTAACATTTTTACACTTTATATAACTGTGGTAATAATTTGTTCACAAACCTTAAATTGAGGTTACTGATCCGAGTTGAAGCGGTGGAGCAATTGGCATCGCGTCTCACTCATCTGCTTAATGTCCCGGGTTCGATCCCCGGTGGAATTTTTTTTTTTTTTTTTATAAGTTTAAAAATTAATTTTACACTGGATGGACTATAAGAAGCTAAAAGTAGAGCCTCGTCAAACACTACTATCAAGGGAACTTGAAAAAGACAGCTCAGGATAATACTTCTACGTTTCATGGCTCCAGAGGCCTACTTTCAAGTCCCACCGATCAGCCGTTTGAACTTGTTTTCGTCTGCCAAGCGAAACTTAAGCTTAAATGTATCCATTTTGATAGATTATTTGTTGGAAACATGGGTAAACGTAAAAAAAAACGTTTACGGGACCTCAAAGTGGCTTCCTAAGACAATTTCATTGCTCGGGAGCCTTACTTTCAAGTCCCACCGATCAACCGTTTAGACTTGTTTTCGTCTGCCAAGCTAAACTTATGCTAACATATATCTACACTGATAGATTATATGTTTGAAACACTTAAAACGTCAAAAAAAAAACTTTTACGGGGCCTCAAAGTAGCCTCTCGAGGCGATTCTTTGCTGTTCTTGAGCACAAAGTTTCAATTGGTCCCGATCAACCCCATCAACTCGTATTATTCTGCCTGGGCAGATTTAGACTCTAATGCATTCGATTTGCTAGAATATGACAATGGAACATGATAAAAGTCATCGTCAATGGCATATGATAGCTAATTGTAGTAAGTGATAAGAAACGCGAAAACGTCATTTTTCATGAGAAATAACTTGAGGCTATGGTGGACTATGGTTCTGCCACTAGACTAAAAGATAGCCTAGAGTCATGACAATAACTTCCGAGTAAAATTACGAGGTGCTCAGAGGTGCTAAGTATATTTTTTGGGTCCTACTTCTGCGATTTTATTGATAAAACTGACTATGTCTAAGGGTTAATCTAGAGCATTAGATATGATAAAAAAGAATAGTTTCAGCATCAAACATTTTAAACTTATCTTGTATTTTGTGAATCAAGTGCCCAAACACTTTCAGGTACGGTGAAACGACGAAAACAAGCCCTTAAACACAGCCCTGTCGCTCGGTAACTGGAATCGCACTCATAAAGTGCTCCGCGCGCCGCACTTCGTAGGCTTGTCACATCTTTATTAGTGCTTTAATATATGTGAAATTTTACAGGAGTCTTCTCTACAGTATGTACTATCGATCTACCTCTTAAAATCTAACTTTTTCCAAACTTCACTTTTTCGATTTATTGCCGCTTAAACCGGCTATTCGGACCATAGTGCGGCGCTTGAAGCAACCACTTCACACCAGAGGTATTGTACAGTATCATACAAAACTGAAGCCGCTCTAATATATTAGGAATAGCAGGCATCCATCAAAAGTACGGAGCTTTCCTCGCAAAATAAATCATGATACTGCGGCCCAAAAAGAGAGCAGTAGTCCAAAAACTCACCAAGTCCTAGCATCCGTGATTAATAACGTTTAGCATACAATTTATCGCCTGGCTGTTGCTTAATCGCCGTCGGCTATAAAAGGCTACAAGAAATTGTGTAGCCGGCTATAGAAGCTATTGGAAATCTTACAGCCGGCTATAGGTCCATGGTATTTTGGAACACAGATTCTACCGTCAATTTTTACCAGGGTGGTGAGTGCTTTAGTCTCCTGTCAACAGAATTGCCATCACAAAATTGGCGAAAAATGACGAGTATGTAGCTGAAAACAAGCAGGAAGCTCCAACGCATTCGCGTCGGAGAGCGGCTCTGGCAACAGTTGTTGTAGTCAAGAATGAGGGCCTAGACACATTTTGTCACTGATGTATAATCCGACAACTGTCGATTCATGTTTTGTAACTTAGCAGATTTACGTAGCCGGTGTATAAATGTGTATTGGCCCTTGATATGCAGGATGCATGCCACTATCACTTGTTGTATACTTTTAATTGTGAAGGCCCTTGGAGGTCCGCATCCTAAAAAATCTCTCCCACAGTATTTTTTTTAACTTGTCGTTGTGATTGGGCGCCAATTTCTTTCAATTGAGTGATCATCTTCTTTTTTTGTCAAATAACTAGTTTGTGCAACAATAAGACTGAAACTGACTGTAACTGAAATTTTGTCTTTTTAGATATTTGGTTATTTTGTATTTATTAGATTGTATATTTTCACAGCCCTGTGATAAGAAACTTTGGAATGCATGGTTGATAAGTCGTTTAGCGAGGCTGCAAAAAATTTGCATTTTTATATCTGAAATTGTAGGTAATGGTTTTGAATATCGAATTGCGATATATTACACGGTTAAGATAGGGCTATATGTCTTGTCGTAAGCGGCGACATAGAGTCGATGTCATTTCAATAATCGCCCCGATGGCCACGGTAGTTGTGTGCCGTCTGCCCACGTAGCAAATGGGAGGCGAAAATGGAAGTCATCAGTGCATCGGTGAGTGTTGAACGTGAAAATTGCGCGGGCCGCGCAAATTTCGCGATCATCGATGTGTCGGGGCTGAGCATCCATCATTTTCTATCTTGTTTTGAAGCTATGTGAGTTGTGATAAAGTACATAATTTTTTTGTATTATATTACTGTATAAATAGTGTAAAATTTGTACAGAACTTTGTACAAAATAGTTTCTTGTAAAAAGTGTGGACTACTGCCACGTCGTTTCCATACAAACTCCCAATACGCCGCAAGTACCACAAATGCCCATGTTAACCAAATCACCTCATCATCCATTTTTTAAGGACACAATTTTTAATTCAAATCAACTTACTTTATCAAAACTCCAATCGTTTATCAAATAACATATATCGAGTCATTTTAACAAAATCAAAGACGGCATAATATCATTTATCACACAGCCAAAAACCTAACCTAGAAACCACGATGTTTACAAACTCAAATTGGAGAACACTCATTGGTCCAATAATAAAAATTGATTTGCCGCCTTTTTTCTTTGCAAGCAAAACGTGTGAACATGTCTGAAAATGGGATCGGGCGTCAACACTCAACGATGCACTGATGACTTCCATTTTCGCCTCCCATTTGCTACGTGGGCAGACGGCATTAGACGTTTACGGTTTCCTTGGTAACCTTTGTTTGCTATCAGCTGATATCGAGTAATATGACTAGGAAGCTCCAACCCAGTGGTTGGAGCTTCCTTAACCGCGAAAACTTTAAAATTCAAATTTTCAAATTTTGAACGTAAAGTACATTTTTTCCATCACGAGATTAAAGCACAG